ACTCAGCAGACAGTTTAAGCACACCTAAGAAACAGGAAAAGAAGCGAAAGTTTTTCTTTAGTTTGAAAGCACCGTATTGAATGCGTGCAGCGGTGTGCAACGTGGTCCAAAATTAATAAAGTAAATAAACGTATGTTACTTAAATGTTGATAGTAACATTGAAACATGAACCTAATTACGTACCTGTAGAGCTAGGCCGTTGACAACTGATACAACACCCATGACTGGGGCAGAAAAGGATTACGGGGAATAATTACGCATACTAAAATACGAAAAAAGTTACTCACATGTGGGATGATTCACAACGCTTTGAAAGATGAGAAAAGCATATAAGAAACATTCAGGCTAACCTTAAGTTTGATGCGCAAAGTAATCAAGCTGAAAAAGTCAAAACTGTTATTTTGACTACCGTAGATGTGGAAAACGTGAGGGGATACCGCTTTATAATTTACGTATATGTGTGCATGATTATTCTGGATTTAGCCACATTATTGTGTTTATCATTCCCCGAGGAAGATGAAGGGAAGAAAGCGATCTTATGGACCAAGTTGTGTTTGTACTGACGTTTCAGAATCTATCTCGGCTATGTCCTCGGAGTCGTTCGCTGGCGTTTGCTGCTGACCTTGATTTGTTTAACCTTGCCGCCTGCCTCGTATTATAACTGTGCCGGACGCACGTACGTTAAATAGCCTGCTCGCTGACAAGAGACGCTCGACAGTCGTCATACATAAGACCGAATTGTGCACTTGACAGAGGAACCTATCGATGGACAGGACATCTTATGCGGTTTCGGCTGTCGGTGAGTTAAGAGAGCTTGTAAACGACATAAAGAAAATGGTAGGGCAGTTAAAAAAGCGGGGAGCCTCACAAGAATATAGGCACTGTCCGCGAAATCCACTAACATAGAGATGACATGCTCCTACGGCCTGACCAGGGTACTCAAGCCAGGAGCTCTCCCCCGACCCATCGTCACTTAACGTGGCACCCAAACATTTGGGCTGTCAGAGTGGTTGTACGAGCGAATTTGTTTCCTCATCAAGGATTTAGATTGGACAGTGAAGTCAGCTAAAGCGTTTTGACTCGCATTCGACACCATAGAGTGAAGGCAGACGAGATGATGGCGTCCTTTGTTGTGGTCTCATTGTCCACTTCTATCCCAATCGGCCTGGCCATCGACCCTGTTAACAGCCTTCTCCGAGAAGTATACGATGTGATCGATTTAAAACTCAAGCAAACGCATATCACCGACGTCAAAAAATTGCGTCCAAAAACTTTCTTTACGTTCAATGGCCAAATGTACTGGCAGAAGAAGGAGAACGCCGATGGGTTCTCCTCAGTTATTACGGACAAAGGCAAGGGAGACTGGAATGGTCATTTCTGGCTCATTAGCCGTCATCAGCCAGTCATACGCAACCCCGAAGTTCGGAACACCAGTAATTCACAACAGAACGAGTGTGTTCCTTAAGGACGATCGGTGAGCGCCCGCTACCATTGGGTTCACCTCTGTCTGAACTACTTGCGGAAGCGGTTTCGCAGAGGCTCAAGTTGCTGATATTCAGCTCGTACCCCCGAACTTCCGAGTCAGAAATGTTGTCGATACAGTCAACATAATAAAAAGGAGCGATGAGCATGCTTTCAGGCACTGTTGAATTCGATCTTTCCTGAAGTGCAGTTCACTATGGAAAAAGACGCCAACAATCAAGTACCTTCCTAAGCGTACGAGTCGTAAACTGGCAAAGGGGACTATAAGGACTACGGTCTACCGTAAGACGACTAACATTAGGCGTATCCTCCACTTCAGAAGCATTCACTCCAGTGGTCACAAACGCACTTGTGTCAGGATCCTTTCCCACACGTCTAAGCACACTATAGCGACGACCATGGCAGGAAGAAGATGTGGTACTTGCATGCCCTATTCGAAGTTGTTAATACGCAAGTGTCTCGGGAAGCCCGATTCCGGACGGTCGAGCGAGCCAAAGTTCTAGATCTCGATCCCCAACGTGAAGACCTTTTCAGAGGCGACTTCAAGAATCCCGAAATCTTTTGAGGCTTGTGTGGCCCATAGACCAGCCTTAACTATCTCACTGCAGATTATGAAGATCAAAGATCCTCTGCCGGTGACAGAACAGTCAGCGGTCGTCTACAGCATACCATGGCAAGATTGTGATGCAAAGTACTTTGGTGAGACAGGCAAACGTCTTGGCACAAGATTGCAAAAGCGACAGCCTGCGGTAAACCGCAAGGATAAGCTGTCGCTGGTCTATGGCCAAACACTACAGCAGAACTACAGTTTCACCGTCGAGAAAGCGGGGGTGATCGACCCAGCCACTGATAAAATGGACAGACTGATGCTGGAAAGTTGGTCGTCGACTGGCAGGCTCGACCCAGACATAGGTTTTCATCCGACCTTCCAGGCGCTACGTACGAGGTCGCATTTCGCAGTTCAGTGATGATTTTCAATAGCCTGCGGTAGCGTCGTTGTTGGTGCGACATCTCGAACGGACATAGACGCCCCTACATCCAATTTTGACCAAACGGAGCTTTCAGACCTCTAACCAAAGGACAAATTCAATTCTGATATAGGTACCCCTACGAGCCTGCAGTTTCGAGATGCACCACATCCTTCATCACCAGTCAGTTTAAACGTCGTTATCGACGATGCCCAGTGTGTGTCCCATGGTAGGGTGGGAGAGGCACGGTGGCTTACGCGTGAATCAGTTTATGTTGATAGTAGATTTGCGCTGCATCCACCGCACTCCCTCCTCCCCAACTTCAGTCGGGTGTCACGACAGAATGAAGAAGATCGGAGGCAGGGGAGAGCGCAAGTGAACAACGCGGTCGAACCCGCGCCTTAGCGCTTCACTCTACACCCCGTGATTCACACAAAAATTGCCCAGGGGGAGTGGGTGCGGAAGTGGTCCAAGTATGCACGACTTCTGGCGGCACCCAGGCCTGCCACCGCACACCTAAATGTTGGCATTTGTTATGGCGGACGTTCTAATAACGCCTACTTGAGTCAGTTGTGGCTCTGCATCTGTCCAGAGCATCTACAACGTGGCCCATTTGGGGACGAAAGAAACTTGCTAACAGAGATGCGGATTTATCGATAAAGTTCATGACACTGCAGACCGCACAAGAGCAGGAAACCGAACAAACGATAGTACATAACCTCTCGTCAAAACAACTTACTGTGGTCCAAACAAAATTTCTACAACATGGATCTGGTTTTAACACAACTGACGTCGACCCGGTCACCTTCATTGCTTCTTTCGAATCAGCGCTTCGTCAAACCGGCGCCACAGACGAGGTAAAAGGCCTCCTTCGACATCAAGTCTCTTCACTTCTCATGTCCACCGGAAAACCCATTCCCTGATAAGAGATGAACAAAAGGCCCTAAGGGAGCTGAAAGCGGACACCGAAATAGTTATTCTGCCTGCTGACAAAGGCCGGTCAACCGTCATCCTCGACAAGGTGGACTACCGACGAAAGCCCTCCTGTTCCTCAACGATCGAGAGGCAGAAGCCCAACAGGCAGCCACAGTGAGAAACCCTCTCTAGGTGGGTCGGGTACAACGGGATGGCGGTTTTGAGGGGAAGAACGGGCGGGGCAAACGGCAAAGGACACTAAATTGGCAGATAGAAGCCGAAAAATGTTGAAAATCGAAGAAAAATAAATATTTGTTTTAATGAAGTCAAAAATAGGAGGAGGATGGCGCGCAAATAGAGAAAACCGTAGGCAATGACCAATCGAAGGAGGGCTGGCCGGGGACGTGATGTGATTGGCCGCCGGGGCGAGTAAACCTGAACCGCCAAGCGGCTAACCAATGGGATCATTGGCGCCGCACTTGAAAGTGGTGTGCGTTAGATAGGCACGATGCATACGATGTGTAAAGGGGACGCGGGCCGTCTGCGGTGTACTGCGGTTGGGTAAGAGTATTTGTATGACATGCTTATGACAATTGCGTCACTTCCCGGACCCTTAATAACCCCCTCCCTATTTGGTATATCGATGATCCCCACCCCATGCACCGTTTAATACGCATAACGCGAAAGATGGTTAGGATACCTGGACGTACTCCAACGCCACCGCAGCAGCCTGCAACAAGCTAGTGAACTCCCGAAGGTGGCGGCCGCTGTGTGTATGTTCGATGTTTTATGAGATTTATAAGTATCCGTGGTGGGAGCAGTTTGTAGAACTACGTAACCCCTTTATGGTTAAATTTAACCACATAGCATACTGCCGGGTAGGTTTAAGTTGTATGAGAAAAATGCAGAGACAGTTTCGGTATGTGCGAGTTGTTAGCGCGGACCGCATGGTAGTCTAATATCTATAAGCAACCGGTAATGCAACGCAACCTCATTCCTCGGCGTACTGTGATATGTGTAGGCACACATAAGGGAAAAAAGATGGGTAGGAGGTATGTGTAAGTGGACATCAGCAGTATCGTAAACTCCTACTGTTTTATACCTAGGTCGTCACCGAATGCAGGCGGACGTAGGCGCGGTCCTCAGCTGATTACACCGACGGCCGAGGACGAAATACAAGCTGTCCTTCAGTCAGCAGGTGTCGTTCAGTACCTGCAGCGGTGGAGGTTGCTGGCCACGACCCTAGCCTGCCGATGTCGGCGCACTGTGCAGATGCAAGTATTGCGGCAGCATACGGACGGTTATGCATTCCGTTGTGGACACTGCAGACGCAAGAGGTGCCTGCGGACGGGGTCAATGTTTGTTGGTAGTAAGCTCAGCCTGCAGACACTGATGCGTATATGCTACAAGTTTGTCGAAGGTGTGCGTGCCAAGCGGTGTGCGGCAAGTGTAGGTGTCAGTAGAAATACGGCCATGGAATGGTACAGCATTTGCCGGGGGGCCTGCTCACACGCACTTCTATCCGCCGTAACCCAAATTGGGGGACCAGGCGTGGAAGTACAGATAGACGAGACGCTCATAAGTCGCCGCAAGTATAACAGAGGACGGCCGCGGCGGCAGTTGTGGGTCGTAGGTATGTACGATACACGCAGACGGAAAGCCCTGTTTGAGCAGATTAACAACCGCAGTTGGGAGGCCCTAAGGCCCGTCATAAGGAAGTGGGTGGCTGCTGGTAGTGTTATCGTAACGGATGAGTGGAAGGGTTACACCCGCCTGCCGTCGGAAGGTTATACGCACTACACGGTCAACCACCGTAGAGGCTTCGTGAATCCCACAACAGGATGGCATACGAACGCCATTGAAGCCTACTGGAGCAGGTTAAAGAGGAAGCTGCAGGAGTCTGGACCTGTCTGTGGCAGAGCAGTGTGGGCCCACCTAGATGAGGTTCAGTACCGCTTATGGTTCGACCTAAGGACTGACAACATGGCAGCCTCCTGGGAGACTTTCCTACGACATTGGGCAGCAGCGTATCCAATAGAAGAGAGCCAACGAACGGTGACTGGGTAAGCTAACCAACCGAGGCGGATAGGGAAGACGTGAAGGCAAGTCTCTGTACTTCCTCCATTTACTCTCCAAGCCTACTTACAATGAATGCAGCGGTTACCTACTGACGATGGGAAAGCGGGCGAGTGAGAAGAGCCTGCGAACGGCGATTGGGTAAGCTAATCAACGAAGCCACTGACGGAAGACATGAAGGTAAGTCGCCGTACTTCCTCCATTAAGTCACAATGCTTGCATACGGTGAATGTGGCCGTTTAACGGATGGCGATGGGAGAGCTGGTGATGAAGGAGAACCAACCAACGACGATTAGATAAGCTAACCAACGGAACCGCAGACGGCAGACGTTAAGGTAAGTCTCCGTAACTCCTCCATTAAGTCCTAATGCCTGCATACGGTGAATTTGGCCGGTTATTGGATGGTGGTGGAAGTGCTGGCGAGTGAGGAAAGCCAACAAACGGCGATTTGATAAGCTGGCCTACGGAAGACGTGAAGGTTAGTCTATGGGCTTCGTCCATTAACTCTACATGGCTAACTACAGTGAATGTGGCCGTTATATGCTGGCGATTAAGGAAAGGCAACCACCGCCAAATAGGTAATCTAACCAACGAAGGCGCAGAAGGAAGTTGTGAACGTAAGTCTCCCTACCTCCTCCATGTAGTCTCCTTGCTACCTACAGTCCATGTGGCCGCAGGTAACGACCGCATTCAATTGGATACGCCTCTACCCAATGCCGTAAGAAAGGTTACCAGGAGACTGCCATATTGTAGCCGCTGAGGTCGAAGTAGAGACGGTACTGAACCTCATCTCGGTGGACCCAACACTGTTGTGCCGCAGACAAGGCCAGACTCGTACAGGTTCCTCTTTAATCTTCTGCAGTAAGCCGCTGTGACGTTCGTATGCAGACCCATTGTGGGATTCTCGACAGTCCTACTGTGGTTGACAGTGTATTATGTATAACCTTCCGATGGTATGTGGGTGTAACCCTTAAGCTCATCGGTTACGATAATACTACCGGCAGCCACTCACTTTGTTATGAGGGGTCTTAGAACCTCCCAGCTGAGGTTTTTAATCGACTCAAATAGGGCTTTTCGCTGCGAGTATCGTACACACCGACGACCCACAACTGGCACCGCGGTCGTTCCCCGTTGTACTTGAGTTGACTGCTGAGCGTCTCGTCTATCTCCACTTCCATTCCAAGGCAGTATTTGTACTGACACGTACACTTGCTGCACAGCGCTTGCCGCGCACACTGTCGACGAACTTGTAACATATACGTAGCAGTGGTTGTAGACTGAGCTTGCTGCCAAAGAACAATGACTGCGTCAACATGCATCGCCTCCGCCTGCAGTGTCCACAATGGAATGCATAACCGTCGGTATGTGCGGCAACAGTTGCATCTGCACAGTACGCTGACAGCGACATGCTACGGTGGTGACCAGCAACGTCGACCGCTGCAGATATTGAACGACGCCTGCTGACTGAAGGAGAGCTTGTATTTCATCCGCGGCGGTCGGTATAACCCGCTGAGGACGGCACCTACGTCCACCAGCAGTCGGTGAGGATCTAGATGTAGAACTGTGGAAGTTTACAGTACAGCGGTTGTCAACTTCTACATATCCCCCAACCATCCGACGAATTCGCAGACGGATATCGTGAAGGTAAGCAGATGAACGTACTGCATTTGCTCTCTATGCCTAGCGGCAGACATTGTGATTAATACCTGCTGACGATGGTAGAGGTGGTGAGCGAGAAGACCCAACCGAACGGTGATGGGGCAAGATAGCGAAGGAAAGGCGCCGACGAAAGACGTGAAGGTAAGTATCGTAACTTCCTACATTTGCACTCCTAGCCTACGGACAGGGAATGTTGCTATTACCGGCCGGTTAAAGAGCGGCATGGCGATTGAGGAAGGCCAACCATGGACGATTGGGAAAGCCAACCAAGAAAGGCACGGAGGGAAGACTGGAAGGTATGACTGTGTACTTCGTCCACTTACTGTCCATGCCTAGCTGTAGTGCCGGTAGCCGTTACTGGCCGGACATAGAGGCAGCTGTCGGTTGTGGAGAGCCAACCATGGACGATTGGGGAAGCCAACCAAGGAAGGCGCGGACGGAAGACTGGAAGGCATGACTCTGAACTTCCTACACGTACCCTCCATGCCTACCTACAGTGCCTGTAGCCGTTACTGGCCGGTCATAGAAGGAGCTGTCGATTGTGCAAAGCCAACCATGGACGATTTGAGAAGCCAACCAAGGAAGGCGCGGACGGAAGACTGGAAGATATGACTCTGTACTTCCTACACGTACCCTCCATGCCTAACTACAGTGCCTGTGGCCGTTACTGGCCGGTCATAGAAGGAGTTGTGGATTGTGGAGAGCCAACCATGGACGATTGGGGAAGCCAACCAATGAAGGCGCGGACAGAAGACTGGAAGGTATGACTGTGTACTTCGTCCACTTACTCTCCATGCCTAGCTGTAGTGCTGGTAGCCGTTACTGGCCCGTCATAGAGGGAGCTGACGATTGTGGAGAGCCAACCATGGATGATTTGAGAAGCCAACCAAGGAAGGCGCGGACGGAAGACTGGAAGGTATGACTCTGTACTTCCTACACGTACCCTCCATGCCTAACTACAGTGCCTGTAGCCGT